ATACCCACTTTCTTTTATTAGGCATTATATTAAATCACATGGAGTCCTCCATAGGTTACGGTGAATTCACTGTTAGATATTTACGAACGTTCTTAAATATTTACGTTTGGGAAAACATAATGATATTTTACATCTGTTTAAAAATACATTTTGCCAAATAAAATCCTTACATTTACGTTGAACAATTCTATTGGCGGACGAAACACGTTGGTAAAGAAAGTTTTCAAAATGGCAAGAAAAATTCGTCAGTATCCAAATTCAAAATTTAGAACCGCCAAGATTTCAAAACTCACCCTGCAAAATCATCACTACTGAAATTATAAATTTAAAAAGAGCTAAGATTTCATAAGTACTCCTTGAAATTTGTCAGTATCGAAATTCACAATTTAGAAGCTCTTAAACTTCAAAAATTAATCTAAACTATCGTCACTATGTGAATTTAGAATTTACAAGCGTCAAAGGTTTAAAATGTAGCCCAATCCGAGATGGTGGCTCAAATTTTGTGTTGCTTTAATCTTTCTAATTAGGAACAGAATGCCGTGTCTATTTGCAGAAATAATCGGTAAAATTACTGATTTTTGCTTTCGGTCGAAAGCCGGCCGTTGATAAATATATGTAACCAAGGAAAATAGAAATCGCTAACTTCTATTCCTTGAGTTCATTGCCTCATGATATATTACTTTCTGTCTCCTCTCTACCGATCTACGCTTCTATAACTCTTTCTTTTTTCCTGTCAGTTTTCCATATTTCTTGTTTCAAACTGTTTTTCCTTTTTGAATTTTCTCTGTTTTTGATACAATTTTCTTTCTTATTTTTCAATCCTACTGTTTTTCTGTTTCTCTTCTTTTTATCTTTTTTCTCATTTTCTTTATTCGATTCGCACTCACCCTTATCGTCTGTCTCTTCTCTCCTTTGATTTCTCTTTTTATCTTCATCTACAATTCACTCGCTTTTCGATCCACTTTTCTCCCATATTGCTGTCTCCTCTCTTTTTATCTCTTTTCTTTCTATCTTCATCTAATATTCTTTTCTTTGGGTTTCGTTTGGTTTGTTGTGTTTTACGGTTTATCAACCTCAATGGGTTATTTAATGCCGACAACTTTTTTTCCCTAGTAATATTTAGTTTTGTCAATGATCTATTTCTTCTGATATTTTTTTCCTCAAAAATGTATAGCTGGTAATATTATTTTAAAAAAATATATTGCTGATAATATTTTTTTTCAAAAACATATTGCTGGTAATATTTTCTTTCAAAAATATATTGCTGGTAATAGTTTGTTTTTTTCCTCAAAAATTTATTTCTGGTAATAATTTTTTACAAAGTATTTCTGGTATTAAAACCTATTTTTACACTTGTATAATGCTTTTTACCTCAGTTTCTGGGTTAACTATTAGCCCATAGTTGGGACACTAACAAGTGCTACTACCCCAGGTCAGGGTGGACCTGGGAACACCAGCAATTAAGAGGTGGTTCCATGCTCCTCAAAACCTCTTGATCAGTGGCCTTACTGTTGGACGTACTTTATCGTCTTACCCTGGACGCGGATGTAGTTTATCGTCATACCTAGGACGGCGGAATTGGAGTGCCGAGTTCAAATTTGTGTTCCTTTCGTTATATTCACTTACCAATGTACATTTGGGAAAGGTATGACCCCCACCTATATCACCCGGGTTAATTTTTCTTCTTTCCTATGTGCCTTGCTCTTTCAGGACGTAGGCGGTTATGACTCTCCACAATTTTCCTGTCCTTCGTAGCCCTTGATAAATTTAGTCTTTTTGTTATCTCTCTTAAACCCTGTTCCACTATCCATTTACTCAAGCCTAGTATGTTTTGGATTATTTTCCTCTTTCCCTCTTGCCTTCCTGTGAGTATCAGATTTGTCAAGGCCTCTTTCCTCAATATTTGCCCTACAAATTTCAACATTTTGATGTTAAGTATACGTTTCCTTTTTGTCTCCATTTTCTCTAAAATTTCGTCGTTGCTCAAATGTTAGGATCGTGTTATCCTCAGCATCTTCCTGTAGAACCACATTTCTGTTGCTTCAAGTCTCTTCTTCGACTTTGAGGAGATTATTCAACATTCACTGCCATATAGAAGGACAGATGTCACATAACGTTTTAGTAGTCTTTTCTTTGTTTCTAGCGATATTTTCCTGTTTCTTAATACGCTGCTTAGCTTTTGGAATGCAACTTTGGCGATCCCAGTGCGTCTTTAGATTTCAGTGTCGCACTATTTCTATCAGTAAGTGATTATAATCTCCCAAAACATTCTTACAGTCTGAAACTATTTACTGGCTTTAAATAACCTGCAAAATGTTGGTAGGCCGTGGAAAAATCAATCATTCATTTCAACTTCTTTCTTTCTTTCTTTCTTTTTTCTCTTTCCTTCTCCTCCCATATTTTTTCATTCTCTTTTTTCTCCCCCTCAACCCCTTACTTTATTTTACGTCGTTTTTACTCTCTCTTTCTCTGTCTGTTTGTCTATGTCTCTCTCTCTCTCTGTCTCTCTCTGTCTGTATCTCTCTTACTGTCTCTCTCTGTATCTCTCTGTTCGTATCTCTATCACTGTCTCTCTCTGTCTGTCTCTGCTTCTCTCTCTGTCTCACGTAGTTTTTCTCTCTATGTCCGTCTCTCTTTCTCTGTCTATCTCTGTCTATCTGTCTGTCTCACACTGTTGGTTTCTCTCTGTCCGTCTCTATTTCTCTCTCTCTCTCTGTCTCTGTTTATCTCTCTGTCTCACGCAGTTTGTCTCTCTCTGTCCGTCTCTCTTCCTCTGTATGTCTCTGTTTGTCTGTCTGTCTCTGTATATCTCTGTTTTCTCTCTGTCTCTATCTCTGTCTCTCTGTCTGTCTCACACTGTTGGTCTCTATCTGTCCGTCTCTCTATTTCTCTCTCTCTGTCTGTCTCTGTTTCACTGTCTCTTTTTGTCTCTCTCTCTCTGTTTTCTCTCTCTCACTGTTTCTCTCTCTGTCTCTCTCTCTCTCTCTCACTCTTTCTCTTTCTCTCTTTTTTTCTTTCTTTCTTTTTTCTTGACCATAAATAATCCATTGGTTTTTAATCAATTCTTTTTTTTTCTCTTTTAAGAGGACATTTTTCCTTAATTCTACATATGAATCCTTTTTTTTTTTTTTGCATTACCTTAATTATAAAAATATTCCATTCACTATTTTCAGCGCATCCACAAATTGCCGATGCTAACCGCAAATATGTCAGCTTAACTACGTTTTTATTTTAACCAATTCCAAGAGAATAGAACAATAAAAAGCTGACCGAATGGCTGGTGCCGTGCTGTCTCCACCGTCCGTGACCGGAATAAATGCTTATTAATTTTAGAAATCAGACGAGATAATAGACGTAAAATACATTAGCAAGATTTTGGTATAATGCGATTAGCGCATGTTAAGCGTATATAATAAGAAAATTGAATTACTTAAAGAATGGCGTCGACACGAAAACAGCGAATATTCGTCATGTGTTCACCATCGAGGAACGTATTCATCGTGAATAAGCGACGGCAATTTAACTCAGCCGTATAACGAATGGAATCATTTACAAATTAAAAATGTATAAACTAAGTGTTGTGTAAATATAAAGTGGATCGATTATTTTTGACAGTATTTCTTAAAAGCCGCAGAAGAAAAACGACACAATCCTATCGCTACGCATTGCTATTTCAAAGGAAATAGTTAAGATAAGCCTCAGTTAGCTTTACAATGATGTTCAACCTGTACATGGTCTAAGAGCTACTCGAGGTAGAGGATTACAAAGTACAACCCTAAGCGTGGTGATTATGCCATCAAGATGCAAGTTCTACCGGAAGAGGAGGAGAAGAAGAAAAACGACTTTGGAAGCAACCGGAAACTTAATCTTATACCGGAAACATGGTATAAAACTCAACTCCTGCTTAAAAAACCTGGGAGGAACGTCAATCGAACGATAAAACCATCAGCTTGGACTTGCCATACCATATACACAGGGTCGAATCACCCTCATTCCTTTCATATTCCACTGGTAAGTACGACGTTCAACTCAGATGGCTTCTTACCGCATAGAATAAAAGATATGGAGAAAGTAGACAAGTGGAATATTTTTTTAATGACAACGCTTTCGTATGCTAAGTTGGCGTCTTTAGGTCCGAATGAAAGAATAATGTTAATTCGCTTGCAAAAAAAGCATTATTATTACAATGATAAATAAATATGATTCAGTTTATATTATCCTGAAAATGTTGATACGCTTAAAAAACAAATCAGTCAATCAAGAGTGAGTTATTTTATTTATTTTTTTTTTTGCATTAATGTCGTTAATGTCTGTTGGATTTAAAATTAGTTGACTAGGAATAGATCTGTTATTCTCCCTATTAGCTGCTATTGTTTTTACGATGATTGAGCCTAGTCTTAGTTTGAGCTTCGAGACTTGTGTGATCAGCGTACTTTCAGTGCATGTTTATCTTAGTGAAACTTATTCTATACTGATTCGACTGGAATTTATTAAGACGATATTCTTCTTTCATTCTTATATAAGGTTAAACAATGGAATACAGTATGTTGTCTCAAAAATTAAAAATGGAAAACATCGAAAAGCAAAAATGAATTATATGAAAAACCATACAGCCATTTTCAATTACATTTAACATAAAAAAAATGATAGTTATTTATTTTTAAATATTTAAAATTTTTAATGCCCGATAAAACTGGCATAATAATGAGTGTTTTTTATATACTAGGTATCTTTTTATTTTAGTCATTTCACCCCAAGCAAACCAATAAAGCCACTAAGACGCAAGGGGTTACTGAGTGCTAGAGAATATGAAAAATTCTATAAAGAAGAGAGGATAACAAAGAAGAGGAATTAAGATGACAGAAGATAACGATCGACATTGCATTTTAATTTTTGAAGATCAGTATTTACTTTGAATTAATGAACCGGAAGAGACACGCACAAACGAGAAGTACGAAAGAAGAAACTGTTAGCATAGAACTTACGGTTGCGTCTAGCAACGTCAACAGTAAAATGATGAGATCCACCTGCAAGTCTGCTACTGTGCTTTAATTCATAAAGTCAAGGTGCCAAAGACGAAAGCTCATCAGAACAATTAACCTGAAAATATTTTTAGAGAAGACGCCTGGATGATAAGTCATGGCGGTGGGAAAGTGATTGAATCAGGTCATAATATCTAGATCAAAATAAAGTATGATTCATTTTGGGACTAGATTTTCAAGATATCATTGCGAAACAGACCCAACAAGATAACAAATTTAGGGTCAACTGATATAAGATTTAAATTCTTTAAAGTGACCTGGCGAAATATTCTTTGGGGTGATAGCCTCGGGGTTATAAGAATTGTTAGATAGTAGTTGGCATTTTACTTGAAATATATATTTTTTAAAATTGTTTGAGCTTTGTTTTTCCTTTCACACTTTGTGTGTGTGTATGCATGTGTGCATGCTTCTCTTTTATGTCGAGTCTAGTCTATATGTATTTCTTTTACGTATTTCTTTATGTAAACAAGGATTATTGTATTTTATTGGCTACTGTGTAGTCGGATTCTCCCACCCTATAAATGTTTCAGGCAATAAATTGGGAAGGTACTTTACAAGTTTTATATTTTATTAATAGAACTTTAAAAAGACCTTTTTTCTTATTTACTTTTGTCAAAATTATATAAGGTCATTTTGAAAATATTGACTTCTCAAACAAACTGGATTTAATGCACAAAATTTAATTAAGTAATATTTAGTGGAAGAGAAAAATGACGTAATGCTCAGCCCCCGGTTGAACAGTGGCAGAGAAAAATGACGTAATGCCCAGTCATCGGTTGAACAGTGGTAGAGAAAAATGACGTAATGCCCAGCCACTTGTTGAACAGTGGTAGAGAAAAATGACGTAATGCCCAGTCATCGGTTGAACAGTGGTAGAGAAAAATGACGTAATGCCCTGCCACCGGTTGAACAGTGGTAGAGAAAAATGACGTAATGCCCAGTCACCGGTTGAACAGTGGTAGAGAAAAATGACGTAATGCCCTGCCACCGGTTGAACAGTGGTAGAGAAAAATGACGTAATGCTCAGCCACCGGTTGAACAGTGGTAGAGAAAAATGACGTAATGCTCAGCCACCGGTTGAACAGTGGTAGAGAAAAATGACGTAATGCTCAGCCACCGGTTGAACAGTGGTAGAGAAAATGACATAATGCCCTGCCACCGGTTGAACAGTGGTAGAGCCAAAATGAGAAAATGACGTAATGAACCCAGTCACCGGTTGAACAGTGGTAGAGAAAATGACGTGACGGTAACAGTGCTCAAATGCTACCGGTAGGACGGTGGTTAAACAAAATGACGTAATGCTCAGCTACCGGTGTAACTATTTTTATATCTACCGTGAAACGTTACATACCAATTATTTGAGAATTTTGACTCGGGAGTTCAGGCAGAAGGGTTGAAATTGGTGAGGAACACAGGGCTCAAAGGGTTTTAAAAATACTAGTAAAAAATACTGGTAAAGATACTGGTAAAAATACTGGTAAAAAATACTGGTAAAAATACTAGTAAAAAAGTCGCTAATTGGTTTGATGTTTAATATTATCAATTATCCATATTGTGCGAATTTGCAACACTTAATAAATGACGTGTAACGGACAAACGTTGGTACTTCTTGATTTACAAGCTAATGTCTGTCGTCGGAGTTTCTTTTGCATTAATGTTGACCTTTCATTCGAGACATCTTCAAAGTAGCCAAAACTTAGAATCAATCTATAAACGCATTTGTTTTCCAGGTGTCAGAAAGAAAAAGGGTTTGTCTTTGTTAATATGAAATTTGACGTTAATTCTCGGTATAGTTTGAGAAAGTGACAAGAAAAAAAATAAAGAATAAAAAAGAGAGTATAATTGAATAAAGTTATTCACATAACAGCTTACTCGACGAAACAAATATTCTTTTCGTCATAAACGCAGAAAGAAAAAAAAGAATCTAAAATCGCAACTGACATTTCGCTCTTCTTATATTTCTATATTTTCTTACAGACAACCTTTCACTATGTTGCATTCAGAACTCTGGTAAATTCGAGTGAAAATAGATTATTATATCAAAATATGATTTGCATTCATTTTAAACAAACTTTTAAGGAAACGAGATCAAATGACACTTGGTATTCAAATGTCTGCGTGACTGAGGAAAAAAAATATTAAGGAGAGAGCACAATAAATGAACATTAATTAAGAAGAAAGAAGATAATGATTGGCATTTCATTTAAATTTTTGGAGATCAACGTTGACTGCAAGGCAAGAAGCCGGAAGTGAGATCAACAAGCTAGAAGTGCAAAGAAGAAACTGCTAGCATAGAACTTACGGTTACGTATAGCAATTTCAACTGTAAAAGGATGAAACCTTTCCGCCAATCCAGTACTACACTTAAATTCGTAAAATCTACGCACGAACGAGAAATGTATCACTACCATGAAAATATTTATAGAAAAGTCACAGGGAAGCTACGTTACGTTGGGAAAAGGACTGAAGCCGAGATGCCAGGTCAGAACCAATAACACTGCAGATTCCTCTTTGGGTTTAATCAAGAATTATCTAATATTCAATCCACGAACGAATGATAGACTACACATCTATTACGGTGGAGTAATGGATAGTTGTTCGGATTGAGAAATTGGAGAGCCAAGTTCGAATTCAAGTCGAATCCATTAGATTCACTTACGTGCTAATACCCTGGGGAAAGGTATGAATCCTCTTCTTCTCCCCACAGCTATGGGTAAATAGCAGGAGGAACCGGATTCTATAGACTTGGATGGCAAATAGTCTACCGCATAAAGAAATGGCAACCTACTGTGGGAAAAAAAAGTCAGTCATGTATCGAAAGATACATGATCGCCTAAGCCTGTATCACACATAGCACATAACTGACTGAAGATAGATTCTGAGGTTAAAAATTGTCAAGCAGGTCACAGTGAATCAATTGTTTTCTCTTTCTTTTTTGTGTCTGTGTAAATATTTTTTTCAGGAAAAAAATCTATCAGTATAAAATCTTGAAAGTTATAAAACTTAATGACATATATACGTAATTTATTTGTTACTTTTACTCATTTTCTTTCAGTTTGCATTTTGACTTCTTTAAAACTACATTATATTTAGATTTGTTTTAATATGCTATATTCTTATGTATATATTTAATATATTTGCACTACTATGTGATTTGCTTACAATATTTTTTGATGCGCTATACGCGACCAATAACTTTTAATACCCTTATAATACCGACTAAGATCAAAATCTAGTACCTGCCCACGAGCGGATAAACTATATTTCATCTCTCCTTTGTATCTATTTTAGGACAGATCTTAACGCTGTGTCTCTGTTTGCGAGTTAAATAGCCCTCAAAATGTACAAAAGAAATCAATCAATATATCTTTATCTACCCTATTTTACATATTATCTAATTTTTCAAGATATTTAAAGCTGAATTCTGTCAGATAATAAAAAGGAAGATAGTTTTCGTTTGTATGAAAATAGAACAAAAAGGCAGATATAAGTTTGGTTTGCCCGAGAGTTAAAAGTACAGGGATAGTTTTGTCTTGATTCGGAGTCAAAAAGGTAGACATAGGTTTTGCTTAAACGACACTCAAAAAGGTAGACACAGGTCCGATTTGCGTTAGAATCAAAAAAGTAGATCGATGTCCGATTTGCAAGATAGTCAAAAATTTAGACTCAGGTTTTGTTTTCACGAGTTGTAAAAAGATAGGATTAGATTTGGCTACCACGGGAGTCGAAAAAGATAGAAGTTTGTTTTTCACGAAGTAAAAAAGATAGACATTAAATTGCTTGCGTGAGATACAGAAAGGTAGGCAAAGGTTTGGTTTATAAGAGAGTCAGAAATATAGACACGAATATAGACACAAGTTTGGTTTGCCGGGTAAGTACAATAGCATTAAACTGGCTCTGTGGATATTGAAAAAACTCAAATTTACTGTGTGAAAATCATACCACGGGTTGAGCAAAGTCATGTGGTCGAACTTGGTGGAATGGAACTATTCAGAAGCCGTCGGTGGTCGTGCTAACCTGAAGTCACAAGTTATCGTGGCCGAGGGTTTGAGGCTACTAGCTTTGTTCAAACTGTACCATAGCTGTATCAAACTTACAGCAACCGCCGTCTGTCAAACTCTCTGCATTAGCAGGGAGGAACCCGGACGAAGCTTTGCCGAAGGGCAAGGTTTCGTTCGGGGAGGTTGACAGGCCTCGAAGCCGCCTAGGCGGGTTTGAAGGCTATATTTTTGGCCGGGACACATTAAACTCGGCCTTGTGTCACATTCGATCACATGTGGGGGGATAACTAAATATAGCTTTGTTCAAACTGTTTGTCACGCCAGATTATGCGCTCTCTCCCAGAAACGGTCAGCATAATAAGTATTTGCCCTGATCTCCCTACTGGGACGGGATATGACACATGGTCAGGCTAAGGAAAATTATTACCTAGCTCCAGCAACCGTCGGTTGTGCTTGTATCGGTATGACTACCGATTCCTACTCTTTAGTGTAATGGGAACTGGAGCCTCGAACAGCTGTTCCCCGAAACTGCGCACCTCAAAGTATTTATTTTCCCCAGACGCGTCTCTCTCTGCGAACAGAGCTACAACGGAGTTGCACTCTACCCAAAGACAAACGCAACGGAGAGATGATAAACCATACCTGACATGTGCCAGATAAGATAGATGCTTTGTTTTCACGAAGTACAAAAAGATATTAAATTGTTTGCGTCAGATTCAGAAAGTTAGGCAAACGTTTTCTTTTTTTTATATGAGCGTCAGATATACAGACATAAATATAGACACAAGTTTGGTTTGCCAAGTAAGTACAGTAGCAGCAGGCTGGCTCAGTGGGTATTGAACAAACGGCCTGAAAATCATACTACGGATTGACCAGTCATGTGGTCGAACTTGGTGGGATGGAACTATTCAGAAGCCGTCGGTGGTCGTGCTAACCTGAAGTCACAAGTTATCGTGGCCGAGGGTTTGAGAGTACTAGCTTTGTTCAAACAGTTCGTCACGCCAGATTATGCGATCTCTCCGAGAAACGGTCAGCATAATAGATATTTGCCCTGATCTCCCTACTGGGACGGGATATGACATATGGTCGGGTTTAACGTGGGGGACCGGAGAACGTATATCCAAGCCAAGGAAAATATTTACCCAGCTCCTGCAACCGTTGGTTGTTCTGGTGTCGGTATGACTACCGATTCCCAATCTTTAGTGCAATGTGGACTGAAGCCTCAGATAGCTGTCGCCCATAAGTGGGCACCTCATATATTTTCCTCAGTAGCGTCTCTGTCTGCAGACAGAGACACAACAGAGTCGCACTCTGCTCGACGACAGACGTAACTGAAAGCTGATAAACGCTACCTGGCATGTGCCAGATAAGATAGAGGCTTAGTTTTCACGAAGTAAAAAAGATATTAAATTGTTTGCGTCATATGCAGAAAGTTAGGCAAACATTTTTATTTTCTTTCTTTTTATATGAACGTCAAAAATATAGACAGGAATAAAAAACACAAGTTTGGTTTGAATTGTTACAGTTTTTTGTATATATATATATATATATATATATATAGGTAACTAGTGAGTTAGTCCAAATGACTTAATTCCCTTTATAGTCTACCAATAGAAGGTTGGCCAATCAGAAGCCGCAGAACATTGTATCCGTCGTGTATAAAGGCGGCCATCTTTGTTTACTCTACCGGAATGACCAGAGCCAACTTGTCAGGTGAACATGACAGACGGAAGAACTACGCTCTGCTACTTTGCTACGATATTCACTGCGAACCTGAACTACGATTTCCTACTGTCTACGAAATATTCACTGCCAACCTCTGGATTCTATACTCGAAGACGACCGTCATGAATTTGTTACATGAATAACCGTCAAAAAGGTAAGTATAAGATTTGCTTTGCACGTGAGTAAAAAATGTAGACACAGGTTATGTTTGTATGAGAGTAGGAAAGGCAGACGTAAAATTTGTTTTGAATAGATAAAAAAAAAAGTAGACATAAGGTGTATTTTGCGCAAGAGTAAAAATGTTGACATATTGATTGTTTTGCATGAAAGGCGAAACGGTAGACATTGGTTTCGTTTGCATGAAATACAGAAATATAGACACTGATACACAGTTTTGTTTTGCAAAAAAAATCAAAAAGGTAGACACATCTGGGAATTATAAAGTAGACAGTTTTGTTCGGCACAAGAATCAAAAAGGTAGACACAAATTTGGTTTTCACGAGAGCCGAAAAGGTAGACATCAGCTTGGTTTGCATTGTAGTTAAAAAAATATAACTTTTCGTTTTTACGGAAACCAAAAAGGTAGACACTAGTATAGTAGATAAGTTGTCCTTTTTTTTTGTTAGGAGTTACCTCTGTCGATGGGGATCTAAACGGAGTAGTCTTGATTCCAGATATCAATGGTAGAACTAAATCTATGATGAAGCTTTTTTTCCCTCAGGTCTGTATGCGATTTGCTACAGGTGATTGATTGTACAAGCAATAAAGAGCTTGATAAACTTGATAAAAAATGACAGACAACGACTGATTGCAAAAACAATAATTAAGTATACCTGAAAGCTGATGTACAGTGCGAATATCCACCCGGAATGAGAAAACGGAGAGCCCAGTTCGAATTCCAGTCGGGTTCGTTATATTCACCTTGGGAAAAGCATGAATATATCTCTTGCCTCTCCAAGCCTTTGTCCTATAGTCTTGTTTGGTGACCAGTTTACCGCAAAATGAAATGGCAACCTACTGAAGGAAATTCCTCTACTTATTGAATCCAAACAGACTTAATCGCCCAAGCATGTATCCCATATGGCACTTAAATGACTGATGCTTGAAAGACAGTTCCAAGATTTCCGTAGAACTCGATAAAAATTGCATTGGAAATATTTGTGTCCATTTTGCATTTTATGAGGAAAAAATCAATTTCGTATTCAATGAAATGGCATAAATTTTGGTAAGTAATATTGAAAAGAAAGAACGGTTTGTACGAAAAACTGATATTTTATCCGGTTGTCAATCTGAAAAACAAAATGGAATTTGAAATCCATAATTACCATATTTCTTCGTGTACAAAGCGAGAGATTTTATATCATAAATAAAAGAACAAAATTTACGTTTTTTATTGAAGACTTCGTCAACTGTCTCTATTGATTTTCATTAAAAAACATTGGAAAAAATAAAAAATAATTATAAAATGGGAGATTTTTTTTCTTCTTTTATATGCCAAATCCTTTCAGGAATAGCAAATCATTGCTCTCCACAATGTCTTCTCTTTCGTAAATAATTTTCTCCCCTTTACCATTCTTCTATGTCGCACTCATCTCTCTCTCTCTCTCTCTCTCTCTCTCTCTCTCTCTCTTTCTTTTTTTATTAATCTTTATGTCTCTGTCTTTCTGTTTTATTACTCCGTGTCTCTGCCTCACTTTCAATCTGTTTTATCACTCTCTATTCTTCTCTCTTTAGGTTTTCTCACTCTCTCTCTTTGTATGTTTTATCACTCTTTATGTCTCTCTCGCTTTCTGCTTTATTACACTCTCTGCCACTCTCTCTTTCTGTTGCATTAATCTCTCTCTTTATGTGTGTTTTATAACTCTATATAACTCTCTCTTTCCGTTTGATTTTTCTTCTCTTTGCTCCTCACTCTGTTTTATCACTATCTATGTTTTTTCTCTCTCCCCACCCCCGCTCAGTTTTATTACTCACTATGTCTCTGTTTCTTTCTGTTTTATCCCTCTCTACGTCTCCGTCTTTTTCTGTCTGTTTTATCATTATCTATCTATCTATCTATCTATCTATCTATCTATACACAAGTATATAATTGGTGTATACGGAATGAGTTCCAATAACCAACAATTATATATATATATATATATATATATATATATATATATATATATATATATTATTTTTTATCCCCTATGTCTGTCTCTGCGTGTTTCCTTTTCAATATCCGTGATACCAAGCATCATAAAAAGCATACATAAGTACAAGCGTATGGATATATAGACAAACGTTGTTTACGTTTTCTTCAAGACTTCCCTACCGGCGTCTTACGGCCATATCACTGGTTAGTACTTACATGGGTAACTGGCTGGAAATACCAGGGGCTGTAACCATGGATGTGCGAGTGGTGTTATGTTTAAAGGCGCGGACGAGCCTTTAAACATTAATGGAGAGCCGTGTTTGGATTCCAGTCGGGTTCGTTATATTCACTAACGCGCAAATACCCTTGGGAAAGGCATGAACTCGTCTCTTATCCCTACTATCCAGCTATGGCTTGAATAACAGCAGAGAGTGAGTCATATAGCTTTGGTTGATAATCGGTCATCCGCAGAAAGAAATGTCCACCCACGGCGGGAAAATCTTCTGCTTCGTCAGTCATGAACTGAAAGAGATCTGATCCAGTAGCAAGGCTCGGCAACCTGCGGATCGGGCCCGCGAAGGCATTTTGACCGGCCCGCGAGCCTGATTACCAATGACTCTATTTTTAACATGAGAGACGACCTTCAAATGAAATTTGTTATATGTCATTTTCCATAGAATGTCTACACATCTCAGTGCACTAAAAATATTAGACTATCTGCAATTTATCTTTCATGAGACTTATTTTACCAAGTTGCGTTAGCTACGTTTACTGTCAAATAATGGATACATATTTATTATGACTCTTGGCTACATTAAAAGATAACAGAAGCGAAAGGAACGATAAAGTGAAAGACGCCAGGGAGGGACTGATATGCGTGGTAGCAGAAATCTAAAGACAGTTAAACATACGCGCATTATACATATATGCCTCATGGATGTGTGGATGATACCGCATGTGTACGTACGTAAGTGTATATGTTTGCAACTATTTGTACTCGTATGTATGGGTATATGTGCTTCGTTTTTGTTTGATGTGTGTGTGTGTGTGGTTCGTTGTGGAACAATTTTCAATAACAGTTTCAAACCTACACGTCATAATTTCATCCATTTCGCTTCAGTTGATTTTTTTCACTTTGAAGTATTTTGTCGTTCCTTGAAGACAAGTAATTTTTGTTAGGTGTTTTTTAATTTTAGATTTTCTTTTGTTTTTCTGATTTCTCAATGTTTATTTTCATTATGGTTTTAAATATTTAGGTTGACAGGGGTCTGCATATGTAATTTTCCTTAATTTTTCATTAATAGCCTTCGTCCGGCCCGCGACCCGTCATTATAACACGATCCGGCCCGCGGAGTCGAATGAGTTGCCGACCCCTGGTCTATAGCATAAGGCTCTTGACATTTTTGTCCCTCCTCTGTCATCAATTCAGATAAACTAGTTTAAGTAACGCGCTATTTCCATCCACGCTTCTCCTGTCCTATATATGTTCTGTGGGGGTTGAATTTCATTACGATTGTATATATGCTGTTATTTGAAGCTTCGCGCATTTTCTCTCCATTATATACATATATCATTCGTAACTTGGGCGACCTTTCTATATTTTAGTGTCTTTTTTCATCCTTTATTGTCCCCATTCACTTAACCGACTCCGAAGAGTAAATACAGTTACCTGCTTATCTTGGCTTCTATATGTCGTGTCAGTTTTAATTTCTCTAAGCCTCTTTTCCTCTTATGTATCCCATAAATTTCATTTCTTTCTGATTGTAGGTATAATTTTACCGTATCCTTATAATTTGCTTTCAATACTTAGGATAACCTTAAGAGAGATTTTTAAAAATTCCCCTTGGCCTGAAAAGGGTCTAAAGCCTTATTCGGCAACCTTCCTAGACATGGTGTCTCGGTGAAATCGCCAGGCCTTCTGTGCTGTGAACAGATTAATAGGAGTAGATAGGCTCGTCTACTAACAGACCAGCAATCTTTCCATGTTTATTGAACATGAGTAGAGGTTTATCCCTTTTTTTTTATTTTTAGGATATGGGTTACAGGGTTTTTCTTCCATAGCGATAATGGTTTAAGTGTCATGATTTTTTGGTAATCTGACTGATCAGTGGCTGCATCATTTCGTTATGAGGGTACTGAGTTGGCAGTTTTTTAGTTGCTGCTTCCGACTGGTAGTATGGAAACCGAACTCACTGGTAGGGCTTAGAGAGGCAGCTCTGATCAACTAACGTATAATAACGGAGTATTTGTATTGATATTACGGGCTTGGGTAGGTGTATGTGCATGTATTTCCGGCAAAGTGGAGGGAACATTATGCTTTAGTCTTAGCCACCTTCCGGCCAGTTTGTATTGCTATAGAATATAGTGATAACTTTTGGCCTTTTCTTATGACAAATACTATGAAAAGAAATACATGCAAACCAGTAAACAAAAAGTCACCAATCTTTCGCTAATATACGTGGCATCCTTTCTAATTTCTGTCATGTAGAATCATTTCATTGAAACGGTCTCCATATATCTTTCCACTTTGTGAAACTAATTTAAATTTTTCTATTGGTACCAGTGAAAATCGCCGTTCCAGTATATCTTCCTCTTTGCTGAAAAGATTCTAGTATACATAGGCATGTTCATATTCGGCTAATTTTCTTAATTACAAAGGAATTGTCTCTTGAGAACCCAGATGATTCTTTCATGTACTTTCGATTTTTGTTATTGCACACTGTTAAATATCTCTCATTCTTTTATCACTCTCTTTCTTCACAGGAGTATAATATAGTAAACATAATTTCTAATATAGAACTCACTTTCTCTCTCTCTCTATCTCTCTCTCTCTCTCTATTCATTCGCGAATGTTTTTGGGTCTGGATATTTTAATATTCTTAACATCAAATGACTTAAGCATTTTAATTTTACTGATATTGCTAGTATTCAGACTTAGCATTTTGTTTCTTGCTCAGTCCCTCAGTCAAATGGTGTATTTCCCTATTAGTGCCCCTAATAAATCTAATCAACATTCTTTACTTGGTTTCTTTCTGACCTCCTCTCCTAGCTCTTATCGAGCATCACAACTCTGTCATTTTGGAAATTTGGATCATGCTGTATTATTATTCGCAAGACTTCTTTCTGTAACGAGCATACTGATGGAGATATCGTGACTTTATTCAAAACGCCCCTTAATTGATATTCTTAACCTTCCTACTAAGAACTGTGCCATAGAGGGTTCCTGAGTTAAAGTTGGCATTGATGCTTTTTGTACATTATGTCAAATACTAGATGAATTCACAATCTTCTTGGTTGACACCGTCCTATTCAGCAGATATCGCCCACAGATATCTGTTTTCAGTGTTTAATAGCGTGGAAATTCCTATTACAATAAACACGTATTCGTGGCTGCTCGAAACAGTTGTTAACGTGTCCAAGACTTTGTTTGCTGGTAGGATGAGGTACCGTATAGAATCTAATATGTTTGGTTCCCATGAATACTTGCGGTCTGTTATAGTGTTTTAAATATATATAAGTTTTCTATTCTTCCTCTCTTCACTCAATTTGAGGTATTAACATTTTCTAATAAAGCAGTTTGTTTTGCTTGTAAATTCATTCAAATTCTGCTCTTGACTCATCTGGAGTATCTTTACCTGACTTTCCACTTAGAACCGAGACTGTAATGAGTGATATGCATATAACACCATTCAAGGTTTCTGATATCATCCTTAAAAGGTATCATCACAAAGTATGTCACCTGATGGTATCTTTGCAATAGTCTTTAAGAAATGTGCTCTGGAAATGGCTCCTGTTCTTTCTAAACTCTACAGTTAATGCCTTGCTGTTTCTTGCTTTTCTGCTTGTTTGAAATCATTTTTTGTACCCTGAGTCTTTAAGAATTCAGAAAAAAACACCTGATCCTTCTAATTATCAACTTCTTAGCCTCCTTTTGGCAAAGTACTAGAAAAGAATGTCGTTTTTTGACGTTAAAAAATACGTAAAAAAACGACATTATTACGTCATTATTTTTGCACCAACCTAATAACTAAGAATTGGTTAAACATCTCACCTTGCAGGGTCTTCTTTCAAATAAGCAATGTGACTTTTACTTCTTTAGTTCAACGGATGATGTTGTAAAGGTTATTGCTGAGAGTGTCTGTCAAGGTTTATATAAGAATGGTGAAGCTTGGGCTGTTGATTTGGATATTTCCAAGTCATTGATCCGGGTTTGGTATGCTGGTCTTCTTAACAAGTTGAAAGGTATTTCTGAACGAATTATTTTTACACATTCCAACCTCTCTATCTCATAGGCAGGATGTGGCGAATCTCTCACTGCTCTGTCGCTACTACAGTGGAAAGTGCTCGGACGAAGTGCATCCCATGGTTCCACCAGGTCAGATCTTTAAAGCTAGGACCCCTCATGATGCTTACATATTACCAAATACCCACACCTTCTCCGTATTACATCGGCGAAAAATAAGTTCCACTCAAACAGTATATTCTCACGAACCAATGCCTTATGGAACAGACTCCCTAGAGGATGTTTCTTTAATCACTACAATCTTAACCTGTTCAAGTCTAGAGTCAACGTTATCTTCATTTCCTACCTCATTCAGTCTTTCCTATTAATCTGAATCTTGAATGGCTATTATTTTAGATCTTTTCCCATTAATACAGGTGTCTTCTGCAGTGCTCCATCCTTGAAACTAAGTTGTTTCTAATTTTTATAAACGACCTTCCTGATCTAATCAGTTCTCAACTCAGTATCTACGCTGATGACACAACTATTTACTCCATCCTGATGTCATCAGTTCTCGTCTCAGTATCTACGCTGATGACACAACTATTTACTCCATCCTGATGTCATCAGTTCTCGTCTCAGTATCTACGCTGATGACACAACTATTTACTCCATCCTGATGTCATCAGTTCTCGTCTCAATTACAAATCCTTTTCGGTTTGTTCAGTTCTCGTCTCAGTATCTACGCTGTATTCAGTCAAATCAAGTTCATCTAAAAAGAAAAAAAAATAACCAAAAAGTTTTTGCTAAATGTCGGCATGGAGTGTTTTGCCAAGTGTAACATCCAAATAGAAACTACTCTTTTTTTCATCGTCTGAGAGAACGCTTTTTGCCTCCCATGGCTTCATAAGAATGACTCATTGCGTCTTGTTGGGCTAACGTTTTCTGCTAACATGAAGTGGATATATTCTATTTAATCAGTTAATAAGTCTGCAGCTAGGAACATTTGTTCAATCTGTCGCATTGACAATTTTATTACTATGAGTCTACCATTCGTCATTGCTTTGAATATTGCTGCTACATTTGATCTGGTTCCCCTGTTATGCATTTAGAGATTCTTGATAAAATGCAAAGAACACTCTGCAATGTTTTTGGTCCTAAAATGTCATCTCGTCTTCGGTCACTTTCTCAACGCCGCAACGTAGCTTCTCTGTGCCTTTTTTCTAAATACTTTCATGGTAATTGTCCTGATGAACTTTCCTCTACAGACTTTATGAATTTGGGCGTCGTATTAGATTGGAGGCACGGCATCATCACTTCATAGTTGAAATTTCTAGATGTAACCATATGTTCTATGCTAATATTTTCTTCTGTCGCACTTGTTGCTTGTGGAACTATCATCTGGCTTCTTGCTTCCCAGTTAATTTTGATCTTCAAAAATTTAAATGCGATGTCAATCGATATATTTTGTCTTCTTATTTCTTGTTCTTTTATTGCCCTTTCTCCTTTATAGCACCTTTTTTCTTATATTCTCTAATACTCAATAATTTTTGGCATCTTAGTTGCTTTATTGCCTTGCCTGTGGTGAAATTATTTTAAAATCTATATCTTCATTTGTATAATATATAAGTTGATTTTAAGTGGCATACATTATAGATGAGTTTTTTTTTTCTTCATGTAGCGACGAAACGGAAGAAACTTAAATAAAGAAGAACGGCAGACACATGGTAAAGTAGCTACCGTTCTCAGTCATCAAGGAAAACAGAAAAAAGTCATCTAACGCCTGGTATCATATATTTTACGTTAAATGTTTATTTTGTCCTCCATTTTGGGGTAGCTTTGTATATATAAAAAAATGAAGGCCATTTATTTGCTGAAAAATGTGTCGAGAACGTTACCCACTACAGGATTATTTGACTAGAGTATGTCTATTGTTCAGAAACTAGGGGTCACATAATACACATGCTATATGAAAAAAACCCCAAAAAACAGGTTTTTCACAAAAGAATTCCGGTATCACACTATAGATAAAGTCGACTTATATACGAATATATAAGCTATCCAAATTGATTTTATTCCGTATTTGCCCTATTTTCATCCCAATTACAATTTGGACTGATTTGTTATTGATAACCGTCTATCCTGTCTTCTAATAGTTAATATTTAGTAAACTGTTGTGGAGTGATTTCCCAGTGGAGGCTTGTATTTGTACTAGGTCTGTCCTAAAATAGATTCGACGTACAAAACGTTAGGAACTTGATATAATAGGTATTACGCAGAGTAATCTAGTTGTGGTCGCTGATACTTTAGTATTCGAAAGACTGTCGTCCGACATCGACTGACTCACCGAATTTCTCACTGACCGACCAACTGACTCCCTCGTTACTCTTACTACTCCTACTTATTATAGGTGGGAGAGTCTATTAACGATAGAATAGCTGTGTTCCGCTATAACATAAATAATCACTAGTAAGATTCGACATGACAGTCTTCGGTATTCTTGTAAAAATTTAAATCATTCCGTTGCATTTAGAAACGCACGCCGGCGTTCACTACAGCATATCGTCCGCATTCACGTAAGTAGACCAGAGTCGGAATCCGCGTTTGGTTAATTTGAAATTTGATATATCCTCAGGAAAAGTACTCTAAAGAAAGCACATCGGTTGATTTCGCGCTTTTACTTTAGTATTCGGGTCACCGATTACGAAACCATATTCCCGAAAAATTGTGGCGTCAGTGAAGTAGACGACATCATGTTGAAACACATCGGTGTTTGTTATTTAATCTTCAACCATCGGAAGTTCACGAAATTTCTGCAAGATGCAGAGATCGTCGAGATAAATTCGCCAGTAAGCCGACATCGTTCAGTTTTATGATGTCGAGAAATATACTGGTCCATAAATTCGCTATGGATATTTAAGATTAATAATTATCTATCTTATATAAGGAATAAACAGATATACAGTGACACCTCGATTCTCGATCGTCTCCCATGTCGAACAAATCGGTTTTCGAATAGAATATTCAAGATGAAAATGCCTCGGTTATCGAACAAAATTTCGCTTCTCGAACAGCATTGCCGAACCGAGCCGAACCGAGCCGTTCCGAGCCGTTCCGAGCCGAGTTAATCCGAACGTAATCATTTCTGAGTCGACCGCCATGTTGTATACATTCGTGTGTTGTGCTGAGCTTTTTTTTCTAATTTTATTGTACTGTGCTTTTTTTTTCTCAGCATTAGTCCTCAGTCATGGCTCCAAAGAAAGCTAGCAGTGATACTGGCAAAGGAAAAAGAAAAGTTGAGGGGAAAATATTGTTGATGATATTATCTCTATGATGATAATATTGTTTCTTCCTACTCAGTATCATATATAAAAATCAACAATCTGTACTATTCTTATAATTAAAGAGACGATCATGTCATTCCTTCCCGTTTCCAAACAATAACATCTCTCTAATTCTCCCTTCTACTTACGCCATCAACTTTCTTAATTACAGGTACAGTATAATTAAAATGTTTGTCTATATTTTATCTGTTTAGTATTGAGTTTATTTCTTTCTTAGATTTAATGATTTTCATTAGTTTTGTGCATGAACTTGTGCACAAAGTACTGTTGTTAAAGTTTAAATAAGCAATCATCTTGGGACCAGGACTTAGGACCATTTTACATTGATTGATCTTTGAAAAATAACTTCGGTCTACGAACATTTCGGGTTATGAACGGGCTTCAAGAACGAATTAAATTCGTGAACCGAGGTTCCACTGTATTTTATTTCTTGGTTGATGTCACTTTCAGTTAGGTTCCCACTGCCGTAATGTGCTTTTCCCGAGACTGAAATATAAGAGAGAAAAAGAAAAAGAAAAATTCTGGTATTGTTCATATTTTTGTAGATTGTTTTTCATTGACTAGGCAGACTCTACAACCTTCTTGTCAAGTAAGTCTGTGTGCATAAAACGTGTGTAAGTGCATCATACTTCTAGTTTGGGCGTATACATTATCGTTCGAATCCCGCATAGACAAACTAGAATTATGATACATTTATACACACGAACGCAGCTTGAAAAAACTGATGATACTTTTCGAAACGTAGCTTAGATACAGCACGAGGCCGAAAGAATGCGGTACCCAGTGAGTACAGAAGTCATTATTCAGTCATAACTGACCGAGCAAGGCATGAGTCAGGTTACCTCCTCCTAAATTTCGAAACCGCTACTAGAGGTGGCTTTCTGGTCTATAAATACTCAGCGATATCTTTTCGCGCCCTATTTATCTCATTTTTCGGTATTGATATCAAGATGTAAATTTCTCGCGGAAGAACTCGTACCCTTTTTGGGACACGCATGAACAATACACACACATACATACGTCCGCATCTTTCACTTCATTTTTTTCTAGGACTTTCTCCTATACCAAACTACACATACGCAAACAATTCACTAGCTTAAATATTTTCTATTGCTGCCATATATGGTCTGGGGCACCTTCTGTTTACCTCGGAGTTCTTGACAAGATCCAAAGACGGATATGTAATATAACTGGCCCTGATCTGGCGTCTCGTCTACAGTCACTCTCTCACAGACGCGCCGTCGCCTCTCTCTGTCTTTTCTACAAATACTTTCATGGTAATTACGCCGATGAGCTGCTTTCGCTGGTTCCCAGACTCCATGAATTCAAGCGCCCTACGAGGCTAGCATCCCGCTCCCACCCTTACACTGTAGAAACTGTTAAATGTAGCCGTCTCTTCTACTCCAATAGCTTCATACCTCGCACCTCTCGCCTGTGGAACACCCTTCCCAATTACTGTTTCCCTGAGAGCTATAATCTCCAACTATTCAAATGTAATGTCAATCGACACCTCCAGTTACCTTGATCTACCCACTATCCCTCTCCTCATCCTTTCTTCTATCACTCCTATCTGCTCTTGCTCCAAATCTTCTGCAACTCCCTGCATCCTAGTGGCTTCCTGCCTTGCTCAGGGTGTAATGCTTAAAAAAAAAATTCATGTTCATTATTCAGCAAGTCAAACAATATTCTATTGTATATGTAACCTTTTATTGTTAATATATAATCATATGTTTGTACACGTTTATATCAGTTCTGGTTGTTTCAATACATTTTTTTAGGTGAACTCATACTCCGTGTCTATCATGTTGTTGTGGGCATTTCAGGAGTTTCAGTGTTTATCTCTCAACGCTTACACCGGCCCGCAACATATGCTTGCTAAACATTAAACGACCTCGAAGTGAATTTCACAAGACAGATGCACAGGAAGTATGCTCAACCAATGAAAGACAAGCAACACAAAAATCCTTTGTCCCTTGTACTATCATATATATATCATAGTGTTTGAAACTCTTATGAAATAAAAATTATTACCTATATGATTTTAAATGCTTGATATTGTTTAAGTAATAATATATATTTATATATATATATATATAAAGACATTGTTTTATGTTTATACTGAGCATTTGTCCATTGTAATTAAACCTAATTTTTTTTATGTTTATACGTTCTTTTTATAGATACAAATATTTAAGTAAATGCTCTGTATTAACAACATTTACCTGCCTGAATGTCCGAGAATTTTTCATAGAAAATATGCGTCCTGCAACAGGAATCGAACCTGTATCCTATACGGAACCGTCATATAGCCTGACGTGCTTTTACCGATTGAGTCACAGAGGAGCGTTTCGGGTAGCATGGTCGATTTGACTGTTTTAACACCACAATTCTCCATGATTTTCTCTCATACATTCATATCTGCTCGCTGCGTATCCAAATGTAAACAAATAACGTCAGACATTATAAAGTGGACAAGATCCGACAATTATTTTTAGATAATATATATATATATATATATATATATGTGTGTGTGTGTGTGTGTGTTTGTGTAAAACATACTCACTTTCTTTTATTAGGCATTAAATTAAATGACATGGCGTCCGGCATAGGTTACGATGATTTCACTGTTAGATATTTACAAGAGTTCTAATATATTTACATTTGGAAAGACTAATGATATTTTACTTCGGTTTAAAAATACATTTTGCCAAATAATATCTTTACATTTACATTGAAAAATTCTATTGGTGGACAAAACACGTAGGTAAAGAAAGTTTTCAAAATAGCCCCAAAATTCGTCAGTATCCAAATTCAAAATTTAGAACCATCATGGTTTCAAACCACCCCCGCGCAAAATCATCAGTACTGAAATTACAAATTAAAAAAAACCGTAAGATTTCATAAGCAATCCTTGAAATTTGTCAGTATCGAAATTCACAATTTAGAAACTCTCAAACTTTAAAAATTAATCTAAACTGTCGTCACTATGTGAATTGAAAATTTACAAGCGTCAAAGGTTTAAAAATAAATCCGGTGGCAGTTATTAAGGGAGCGCGGCTCAAACTTTGCGATCCTTTATTCTTTCTAATTAAGAAGAGAATGCCGTGGCTATTAGAAGAAATAATCGGTAAATGAAACCAAATTATATATATATATATATATATATATATATATATATATATATATATATATATATATGTGTGTTATGTTATGGGGTCCACCCCTATTTTATATAAGTGGACTCGCCCAAAGTGTTACTTGGACTGGTGCCGTTAAATACCCAGAGTCAGTCAGAATATACAGAGTGAGCAGAGATTGTGATTGAGTTGGAGGTAGAGTAATAGTGTGAGGTAACCGCTTGTTGGAGTCAGTTACAAGCACGTAGACTCTAAGGAAGTCCTACTTCGAGACTATATCTATATATATTATTATTACGACTAACCGCGTTCCTGGATTTACTAACAGCATTACTCATTGTATTATTGTGTAAATACATTTAATTTCTTATCCTTAATTCTTGCGTTTGTCATTCATCTCAGAATCCACAACAATATGTGTGTGTGTGTGTGTGTGTGTGTGAAAACGTACCCATTTTCTTTTATTAGGCTTTAAATTATATCACATAGCGTCCTCTAACGGTAACGTTGTTTTCACAGATATGTACGATTATTCTTAAAATTTTTGAGGAATAAGAGAGATATTTGTTTTTTTGTTAATATTACGATCTCCACTAGAAAATAGCCCATCTACAAAAACGGCTGACGGCTCGTAATTCACAATTCTCTTTTTGTTCCTTTTTTGTTCCTCGGACTGTTGATGAAGGACATGGGTGTGTCCGAAAGTTCCGAACATAAAACCTTTTTCTCAATGCTTAACTTCTGTCATCTGGTTAATATTTAATACATGTTTATCGTACTAATTATAATGGTACCCTTTCGTCTCTCCTTGTTTTATTAACCAACCTATTTTATATATATATATATATATATATATATATATATATATATATATATATTTTTTTCTGTTTATTGTTTTCTATTTTTTAAATCGTTGTGAGAAACAAAAGAAAACGAAACGGACATAATTTACAACGGAGTTGATGTGATTCTCGATTTTTCTCAAGTTATGCCTTTTATTTTAATTTTTTTTGAGAAGGGAAATTGTAATATTATCTTTTTTGATAGTGTTTGTAATCTTTCCGGCGACTGGAAGGTCTTCTCACAGAACCTTTTTTTTTTTAAAAAAAAAAAAAAAGATCTTATTCGCCGCAAGGCGCGAACTGGCACTTTTATTTATTTTATTTACCTTACCTCTAAGCTTCTAGACTGCCGCCCTCAATTTCAGGTAGACGATATTTTATTTCATCAATTTTATTGATTCTCTACGTTAATTTATTTTATCCGATTTTTATAGTCATAAAACCAGATTTCAGAATTTCTTTTCTACTCCCGTTGACCTGTTCTTCCGGCAACATACTATAAGAAAAGAAAAAAAAGTACTCAAAAAAAAAAAAAAAAAAAAAAAAAAGCCAA